CGCGGTCACAGAGGATGATCAGCAATGCCCTATCTGGTGCATCGAGCAGACGGTATATGCCGTACGCCAGTACGCAGTATCGACGCTTCGCTGCCGCACAACCACCACCGGTCGCACCTGGGCTAAATATACTGCAAGGGTCGCCCTGCCCATACGCAGGCTCAAACTCGCGCCGTCAGCTTACAAGACAAGTTTTTTACCTTTAAGATACGGGCCGGCATCGAGCAGGGTAGATAGGGGTTTAGATGCTACTGCTCAAGCGTTCCCGTCTTCTTATTCACTCTTCTACGCTTTTTCATCCTAATCTTCCCATTCCAACTTCACTTTTATCCCCCCGTTTTCTACCCCGATATTCTTTCCTCACTCATCCTTCATTTGACCTTTGTGTTCTAGTTTCTACTCATGCGCAATCGCAAGACGTCGCTCCTGTCCAGTCGACATGTGCATGTTCAACCAAGCGGACGTCAGTTCCTCCTTTTCCTTTTGGAAACCTCAATCATCCCTAAGATTGGCATGCCTCGATGTGCGCACTTTGTTGCAGCTCGACTAACAGGCAGCACTTGCCCGAACACTAGAACCCTATCGATCGACGTCTGCTGTTTATCGGAAACCCGCTTGCACGACTCGAGCTCTGTGCTTACTCTGCGATTCCCCACATGTGACACTGGCGGTACTTTCTCATTGCGCCTTTCCGCAGATGGCGCAGCTTCAAATGCCGGTCAAGCCGGTGTGCGTATTGCTTTAAACCTTTGGACTAAAACTACCTTGATCGATTGGATCCCACTCAGATTGGTTGATTCGTTCACAGCTTCGATGTCGCACGGTGACGAACTAACCTGTTCGACATTACTGCATCACGCCCACAAACTGTAGCACGGACTCGGTGAAGGATGACTTCAGGTACAAACTGAACGACCTCATTTGTTACAAGAAATGTGCAGATGGTCTAGTGCTTCCCGGTGATATGAACGCCCAAGTAGGAAGATTGTCCACTGATGAGTTGTATCTGGGCGACCAACAAGGCTTACGCTCCTGTAATGCTAGCGATGAGTGGTGGCTATATCTGTGTGTAGATGCTCATCTATTCCTTGCGAGCACTGACTTCGGACACAGTACCCACCAGAGGGTAACATGGGGTCCACCAGCCATGGATGCAAATCGTTCACATCACAGTAAGTTGCTGCTGGAGAGGCTGCATCGAAACCTGTCGCTCGATTTGGAGCACATGTGTGGACACTGACCATGCAATTGTAATTGCTGGTATGCGGTTGCCTTTTAGCGGAGGACCGCGACGACGCTGTGAGTGTATAGTCATCGCCAACTGACGAACCCAGATGTTCTGAGTGCGTATCAAAGTACGCTAACATGCGAGTTGAATAACATCTCACTGTATACAGTTGAAGACCACTGGCCACATATTCGCCAGACATTCCTATCAGCAGGCATGTCTTCATGTGGCAGATCAAATTGCCAACATGAATTATGGGTCTCTACGCAGCGTATGGAACTTATCGACATATGCCGGCTTGAAGCGAACACAATGAGACCCGCAAATATCTCAGGGGAAGACTACGTGCTAGCCAGAAAAGTGACCACGAATCCTGGTGATCTCTCGTATCTCGGAGATGAAGACAGCCGCTGCCGTTCATAACCATCATAATTTATTCCATCTGATACGGGAAACGAGCAACAGAAGACTTGTTTCTAGCGAGACCATACGCAACGATAGTAGATACCCGACGCGCAGCCTATCGAAACGCTTGGAGCGTTAAGC